TGTACCATCAGAATGGTTATGACCTGAGTGACAGAAGGTTTGTAAACATGCGCACTGTGGGTAATAACTGTCCACGATGGAGTATGGTTACCAATGAATACAACCCGAGGGCTAAAATTGGTGAGATATCGAACAAATGAAGGCCAGCTTGTAAAGACTGAGAGATTGAACGTGATGCCATATTTGTGCAGCAAGTGAGTGCTTGTAATTATGTGAGATATAAATCTGTTGTATCAAGTATTTAAAGTGAAATTGACCTTTTTTATTTGAATTCTCCATCAGCTGTTAACTAGAATTAAAATTTGCTTTTATTTGGTTAGTTTCTAATAGTAAAGCATTTAAAAGTGAAATCTTGCCCAGCAATTTTCTTTCTGTTGGGATTCTTTTCTTGTTAAATTTTATTGTTCTCAACAGGGATTATAATTTTAGGCTCTTGCTTGCATTTCTTTTGTTGATATTTTCCAAGCCCTAAACAGGTGCCTTGTCAATTAAAGTTTATAAATGTACTTTCTACATGGATTACCTGATTTTCATATTTGATTATTCAAATGTTGTTTGAAATATTAATCTCCAATTATTTCATTTTTAATATGTGGTATTGCACTTATGCTCTAATGCCTATTAAAATGTGGTGGGTTATCCGTCTTTTCATAATTCACTCTAATTGCTTTCATTCTTTTGTGGGTTCTGTGTATTGCTGGAGGAAAAAAAACATTTATTCCCTATTCGTAATTGCCTTTTGAGAAGGTTGTGCTGAGCTGCCTTCTTGACCTACTGCAGTCTACTTGATGGATGTACTTCTGCACTACTCTCTGGTTTAAATTTTTTTGACTTAGCAAATATACACAAATAGTGCAATATTTTCCACAGAAGCTAATTTTGATTTGATCGAATGCTTAACCTGGAGTGTAAATCAAATATGAAGGTACAAACTCCCTCCATAACCATATTGTGCATTTCCTAAGATTGTGTGGATTGCAGTGGTTTGAGAAAGCAGTTGACCATCACCTTCTCAAGGGCAATTAGAAACACAATAAATGCTCGCCCAGCCAGCGACATTCACATTCCCAGTGAATGATCTTTTTTTTTGAAAAATGATTTTAGACCTCAGCAAAAGTGCAGGCTACCTTTACACTAACTACTGTGTGAGTGCTTCATTTGCGTTATAGTGAGATACATTGTAGGTCATGGTGTAAAAGAGACAGCAAAATGAATACAAAATTGGCTGAGTGACAGGAAACAGAGACTAAAGGTCAATAGATATTTTTTGGGCCATAGGATGATTTACAGTGGAGTTACCCAGGGGCTGATTTTGGGAGCTGATATTGTATTGTACTGATATTGTATGGGGATCAATTTCAAAGTTTGCAGATGACACAAAACTTGAAACAGTTGCAAACTGTGAGGAAGGCAGTGTGGAACTCTGAAAAGATGTTGACAAGTTGGTGGAGTGCGTATATAGCTGACAAACGAGGTGATGCAGTATGACTGGAAGAACGTTGAAAAACAGTATAAAGTAGGAGATATACTTCTAAAGTGGATGTAGGAGCAGAAGGTCCGGGGTATATATGTGCACAGATCACTGAAGGTGGCATGACGTGTGGATAAAGCAGGTAATGAATTATGCAGTGCCCTCAGCTTTATTAACAAGCATAGAGTACAGGAGCAAGGAGATAAAGTATAATTTGCACAAGACACTTAACAAGCCACTTGTTAAAACTCAGCTGGAGTATTATGTACAGTTGTGGGTGCCAGATTGAGAAGGCAGGACTGTCATGGTGACCTCAATTTTTTATGGAAATTGAACATGCACTTTTGATGTCCCTGTTTAGCAAACCAACCATCAAGCCAACTGAGCTAACCAACCGTTCACTTCCAAATATAAGGTTCATTTGGCCAACTGTTAAAATAAAAGTACTAAATGTTCCTTCCAACTTTAAAATGTACACAGGTTCTTTCTAAAACAGTTCTGCAAATGGTCTTGATCATGCTTCAGCTCTGGAACACTAAGTACTGAGCCTAACAGCTCTTTAAGATGTTGTCCAAAAGCACTGAACTTACATTACACAACTAGTGCTGAAGCTCTACTGCAGTTTTAACAAAATTCTCAAAGGATTTAAAGGAATAACTGCTCGAGTAATTGTATCGATTTCAGTTCTTTTATGTCCGTGGAAGATGATATAGATAATGCAGCACGTTAACATTAATGCGATTTCAAATAATGTATTTTGTGACAACTGGCAAAATACCTGCATTAGCCACATTAATGTGCTTCCTCAATTTAGAAAAACAAGTAGCCTCCACACAATGTTCTACATGGACTTTTCTTCTAAAAACAAAACCAGCAACTACAAGCCAGTCAGTTTTAATTTAGTGATATGAAAGCTTTTAGAAATCATAGTCCAGAAGAAACCATTTGAACAAATGTGGATTATTTGAAGAAAGTCAACATAATCCTTCTTAAAGGCAAACCATTTTTTACAAACTTGATGAGATGGGTGGTAAGAGGGGTTAGCTATTGATGTGGTGTATAGGCTTCAAAGAGGGGTTTCATTAAATGTTTTGTATTGGCTTACTAGCAGAGTTGAAACCCATGTAATAAAAGGGGTGACATAAATGCAGAATTGGTCAAGTGACAGGAAACAGAGTAAATGAGGACATTTTTGGACTGGATGATGGTAGACAGCAGTATTTCTCAGAGGTCATTACTTGGGCCACAACCACTTACAATTTAAAAGTCTGCTGAATAGCGAGGTAGATGGTAATAGACTTAGAGGACAGATTGGTGGAATGGTTGACCAAGCGACAAATGTAATTTAAAGTAGAGAAGTTTAAAATCAGGTTTTTAAATAGTCCCTCATGATCGAGGATGACTAGCCTTCCCCCGTGGGTTTTTTGGGTTCTGAGATGACCGTTAAGTCCAATGTGAAATCTGAAAACTCTACTACATGAGGAGCAGATTGTGCTTGAAGAGTTGGATTTATACATTGTTTGGAGGTTTGTATACTTTCTAACATCTTTGCGCAATCCTGAGAAAGTATTTTTGTATTAAGATCATTAGAATTAGGAACAGGAGTAGTTTGTTTGGCCCCTCGAACCTGCTCTGCCACTCAATAAGAAATGTTTGATCCAACATTGCCATGTCCACTTTTCTGCCCTTTCCCTGTGTACCTTGATTTCCCGACTGATCAAGATTTAGTATCTTTCTTAATGAACCTTTTGTATTTTGGTCAATCGCAAGCCAAAAAGATCTGTGAGTTGGCGCTGTGTTTGATTGCAGAGGACATTGCTGACGGACTGCCTTTCTCGACACAAGTCATGGAGGCTCTTACAAAGGCTTTGTCAATGGGTATGTCTGCAAAGGCAAAGTCCCCATACACCCAGAGGACTATAGGGCTACTCTCTCATTAGAGAGAGACAATTAATGGTAGTTTAACCTGGAAGTCATCACTCCTCTCGTGAGGGAAGAGGTTGAGAAGGAGAATCCTGCATGGTAACCTTAGCCGGTGCAGGAATTGAACCTGTTGGCATCACTCTGCATCGCAAATCAGCCATCCAGCCAATTTAGATATGCGAAGTAACACATTTTCAGTAGGATTAACAATGACAGGCAATATAAACCCCAGAGTACAATTTTAAATATCACAGTTCAGCGGCACATCCAGTAGCTTTTGGTGATAAACACAATCAAACGCTTTCTCAAGGTCTGTGCAGCATTTGTTAATGTTCTTGTAAACATATAGACATTTATCAAAGATTGTTCTTGGGTTACATATTCCCTTCCTTGTTCCTACTACAGTTAAAATTCAGACTGCATTTTACCAGTTTTTACTTTGGCTGTGTTATTTTTTTCTATTATGCTTTTTCACGATCACTTTAACAAGATAATTCATTCAGCTTATAGTTCTAAACTGATTGCACTGCATAGCTTTCAGTTTCTTAGATCACTTAACAAATAATTAATGCCTCAAGACACTTGAAATGTACCTTTTTTTGGTATATATTTGATCACACATTTCTGTTAATACTTTTATTCCTGTTTCTCGAAGGGCTTTTTAGACGTCCTCTTGTTACTTCGTCTATGTCTGAAGTGCTTCCCGTATTGGTCAATTTCAAAGCATTCTTTACCTCCAATATCATAAAATTTGGCTCATGTATGCTTCTATATCTTGGCTCCATTAATTTGGATAATCATACAATTATATATTCTTTTTGCTGTGCATCCTTTTTAAACAATACTTTTTGATCTTTGTCTTTTATTCACTCGTCCACAATGTTGCTATTTCTTTCTTTCCATCAAAGATTTCACCTCTGGTCCATAACTTCCATTTGTGATTTCTTAACCAGCTCCAGAATTTCATCTCACATCTCTATATCACTTCTCTTTAGAACATAACAAACTTGTGTTTGACTGAGAAAACAATGCTACTTGCAGCTTAAGGAAAGAGATTCCTTTTTCCCTCGGGTAAACAGGGAGGAAAACTTAAAAAAAAAAAATCAGAATAAATTATCCAAGCTTTCTGCTGCAGATATCTAGTGGCAGTTGTCTGGATGAGATTATATACTTGCCTTTCTCAAAAAAGATCTCTCAGTACCTTTTATTGAAGTCTGTCTGCACTCTGCTCCATAGTGACGTTTTTTTCTTCCCCTTCGTAGAAGTCAATAAGACAGCAGACCCAAACTTACCTCCAGCACAATAATGGGGTCAATCAACTCCCTTTCTCAGGACATCATACAGTTTCCTATCCTAGATTTGCGGTTTTTCTCAGAGCAGACATTTTCAGATTCCAGTTTTGACTAACATCTATTGTCTTGTTCTATTGTTTTGAAATACACACAAATTAAAGTAAGACCACAGAGGGGAAAGTTCTTCAGCTTTTAGCATAAAATATTTCACTTCCTCTCGGCAAGTAATATTGTCACATCTCTCAAATTCATCGAATTGTGAAAGTGCTGTACAGCTGACTGTTTTCAGTAAAATGTTGTCCATTACTTTCCAGGAGAAAGAGAAGTTCATACACTCCCGCTTAAAGGCAAAAGGAATCGGTTTAAGAGATGAGGAAGGTGAGTAAACTGTAACCTTTGAATTTTTATTTCAATTAGGTAACTAAATATTTTTTAAACTCATGCAATATCATTGTAAAACATTGTCTCTAAGAAATATAAATAAACCAGGTTGTGCAGTAATTTTATTTAGATTGTTGTGAATGTGTATAAAATGTTGACATTGATTGAGGAGTGTGCATCATTGAATATTCATCACTCTGTTTCGGAGTTCTTTGTCTTAAAGTTAGTTTTAAAGATCCTTTGTTACCATGTTTTATGTTTTAAAACTATCGAAGCAACTCCAATCTTATGTTGAACTTTCACTGTGAAGGGAGATAATGTGCACAGAACTTAATGTCACTGAAGGCAAAATATTATACATGGCTGATGGCAATGCCCTACAACATGTATAAATTTTAGTATTTTTCAACCATTTGCAGATTATTTAAATTGTTGGCATTCAAAGTACAAACTCTGCTCATAAATTCCTGGTTTAAACACTAGGATTTACTTTAGCCAATAGCCACTCTTATCGCATACAACACAGTTTATAGTACCTTAGCTCTGACATTTTGGCATCGTAGAGATTGGATACTGACATCAAGTAATCTACTTTGTTGGTGTATGTGATTTTGGACTGCATTAACTCAATACCAAATATCTGTTTTGCTCTCTGGCAACAGGTAGTAGGTTTGTGTGACTTTGAAGCATTGGTCCTTCTTCCCAGCTCTTCGGATATTATCCCGTTTCCCTTTTAGAGAGCCCCACTGCCTAGCCAGCTGCAAATCCTATTTTAAATTCTATTCTGTAATTGGCCACTAGAAGTTGTGCAAATGCTTTTTTGGGCTGATCTGTAATCTTTTTCTGTGCTTTGTCCTGTGGACCAATGCCTCTGTAAATTCCTCTTAAAGAGATAACCTTCTATCGAAGAGAGATAGTAAGAACTGCCGATGCTGGAGTCAGAGATAAGACAGTGTGGAGCTGGAGGAACACAGCAGGCCAGGCAGAATCAGACGAGCAGGAAAGCTGACGTTTCGGGTGGGGAACCTTCTTCAGAAAATGGAAACTGGTGTACTAACATCACACAGGTACTGAGACACAACATTGGTCCTACTAGTCATATCACCACAAATCCTATTTTAAATGATATTCTGTAGCTGGCCACTAGGAGTTGTGCAAGTGCTTTTTTCGACTGATCTGTAATCTTTTTCTGTGCTTTCTCCCTGTGGACCAATGTTGTGTCTCAATACCTGTGGTATTAGTACACCAGTTGGGAATTCCAGGCATCAATGACTTTGTATATTAATGCTCCAGGTCACCAAGGAGTGAATATTTATTATTATTTGTTCATGGCATGTGTGCATTGCTGACTAGGCCAGCATTTAATGCCTATTCCTAATTGTTCTTGAAGGTAGTGGTGAGCTGCTGCCTTGATTTTGCTGTGGGTCATGAGCAAGTAGGTACACCCACAGTGCTATTAAGAAGGAATTTAACTCAGCAGTAGTGAAAGAATGATATATTTCCAAGTCGTGATGGAGGCTTGGAGAGGAACTTGCAAGTGGTGGTATTTTCATGTATCTGCTGCCCTTGTTGGAGGTAGTGGTCAAAGGTTTGAAATGTGCTGTTGAAGGAGTCTTGATAAGTTGCTGCCATAATCGTGTAGACGGTACATGCTGTTGCCGCTGTCCATCAGTGGCGAAGGAAGTAAAAGTTAAAACTGTGGTTGGACTGCCAATCAAGTACTGCTTTGTACTTGAATATTGTTGGAGGCAAATGAAGAATATTCCATCACACTCCTGACTTGAGCTTTGAGGATGGTAGACCAAATTTGGTGTATGAGTAGGTAAATTACTCGCTGCAGAATTCCTAGCCTCTGACTTGGTCTTGTGGCCACGGTAATTATATGGCTCATCCATTTTGGTTTCTAGTCAATGGCAACCCACAGGATATTGATAGAAGGTTATCTCTTTAAGAGGAATTTACAAAGGCCTTGGAAAGTAAGGTATAGCTTTTAAATTGAATTGTATAAGTTAGCAATATTTTTCATAGAGGTGAAAATTTTATACTTTAGATTTAGCAGTTATGCCTTGGCCCTGTTCTTATTAGACACTTCAGTTAAGTAGAAATTTTATAGAACAAAAAACAGTTTACTTTTTCAGTAATATTCTGACTTTGTATTCAGTTCTCTAATTTGCATTGTATCACACCAGAACATGGAGCCAGAAATTTGGCCATTAGATATCCGTTTGTCTGATATCATGCCTATGCAGCTGGAGCCATCTACTGTTTTATTTCTCTGACCTTTCCTTATGTCCATATATTACAGATTTATTATATTTGTTTTCAATTAAATAAGTTTGTTGCCATGCATTCCTGACTGAATCACTTAGGGTGAAACAGTGTATATTCTAATAAACCTCTCAAAACATTTCTTTTGATCATTAATTCTTTTTTTTATTGATGATCCTAGTTCTGGTTCATGTTCACAATTTGCTATTATGTGTGATGCAAAAATTCATATCCCTCAATGAAGAAATCAGAACTTTGAGAAAGCTGACTAGGCTGCACTGACATACTTTTAGTGTGGAATAGCCCAGATCCTGGTTAGTTAACACCAATTCAGAACAGTGCATCTAAATGGGAAGGAGTTTAAAAATAATTTCAGCTAAGTTATACAACTTTAACTTTTTTACAAAAATCAAGATCATTTTGTAAAACTGTGATGCACTATTGAAAGGTTAACCTGAATACAAGGGTCCCACAGCATCTGGTCATCTCAGGGGGAAAACTAACTTTTAACAACATTAAGGTCATATTTATTTATCTTCATAGTCAGTAATGTGAGAAGAAAATTGTAGAAACTCACCTGCATTGAAATGTGACTGCTGAGAAGGATATTTAATGAATTGTATAATTAAACAAAAACTGCTATTTCTATTTGAAAACCAAACTTTTCCTGATATCAAAAAACAGGAAAGTATGAAATGAATCAGTTTCTAATATGTTTTATGTCTTTTTGCTTGTGTTTAGTAAAATACTCAGCTAAGAATAAATTATAACCGGAATGCCGTTCTGCTTCTAGTTCTTAAAAAGCTACAAGATGCTTTTTACTCAAGGTGGCTTCATTTAATAGCAGCTTATCATATATGCTTATATCATACACAGTGCTTGTGGTTTTAATTGGTCATATTACATTTTTCAGGGAGAAAAAATACTCTCAGTGCAGAAGAGATGGCTGAATTTTATAAGGAATTTCTTGATATAAATTATAATAAACATGTGAACTACAATAAGTAAGTCAACCTATTGATTAAATTTTAAATAGTGTAAGCAATGTTTAAATGTTTGATTTTATTAATAGGGCTATGAATTAATTGGCAGTGTTGTATAAAACTGTGGCTGCTGGAGATCTGAAACAAAAACAGCAATTGCGAGAAATGCAGCAGGTCTGGCAGCATTCATGGGAAGAAAACCGGGTTCAAGTGCACTGAGTCTTCATCAGAACTCAGTGTAGTGTTTTCTGTTTGAAAAGTATTTACTTCTAGGACATAAGGAATAATGTTATTGTAATTATTTCTGTAAGTTGTATAGTTATATACAACTATAACAATGAACATATAATGATTTAAAATAAATAATCACTTGCTTTACAATCTATAAACCAACCAACCAATATTGAGATCTGTTCAATAAATCTGACGGTTTTAAGCAAGTTGCTTAGGTAAAACATATTTGTAGTATTGCAACGTTACATTTATAAGTAAAGGAGAAAACTGACCAGAATTTTTTAAGATGCCCTGTTCTTTTGTCACCCCTGAAGTAAATTGTAGTGAGATGAATGATAGCTATATGAAAATGAAGAGAGGCTAATAAAAACAAATTGAAAGTTTGAGATTCTTATCAAAGTTCTTCATTTTAACCTCACTTCAGTCAAGATGATATTATTGTCAACAGGTTTAAGTCAAACCATTTACGTGCTGGACATAAAGGAAATTGCTTAAATACATTGCTCAACATTGTAATACTCTGATGTTTCATGCCTAAGTTAGGTATAAACTTGTAACTGAGTGAATGTTGTCAAATGAGTAAGTCATTTTTTCCATATTTCTTTGTTTAGGGAATGGTACAAGCGTAATTTTACTATCACATGGTTAATGGGTCGAGTTGTACTGCAGAATGCCTGGAGGAAATGGAGAAGGAGGAAGGAAGTCGAACAATGAAAATCCTGTTCTATGAAAAGTTTAGTACGATTTAAATGCTTGGAATTGAAACTTAACTTTGCCATGAGGATATTAAAATCTGGGCATATATTTTAGCATCTTGAATTAAATGTATCCTAAGACACACATAACTGTAATCAAGTTTTGATGTATATTCCGTGTTTATCTTCTAAAAATATACATTACTGTGTATATATATTTTTGTTTCAACTCTTATGTTTGTTCAGTAGTGTCAGGTTCAAGTCCCACCTGTTCCAGGAGTGTGTAATAACATCTGGTGAATAAATTTGTTAGAAATGCTGTAATAATATAATAGCTGTTCATATAAGATTAATGATTAAGAGCCCATTAATTGAACAGCAACCAGAAATTCTTCTTCAATGAGAAATGAAGAAAACATAGCAAAAAACTGGTAATCATCTCAGTAGAAACCAGTAACCTTGTTTATTAAAAAGTCCATAATCCCAGTTATTACTAAAAGAATTAAGCCACTGCATTGAAGTTTTAAACATGAGTTTTTACTATTCAGTAGACTATTCACTAATTTTAAAATCATAACCAATTCCAATCTTCCTATCCACACACATCCATTTTCTGGCAATTATCACTGCATAAAAATTGGAAGTTGGAGGCCTCACTGGTTTCCCTCCTTCCTGCTAACCCTAAGTCTGAGGCACTGAATCAATTTGTTGAGAAGATAAATCCTCTAGTCTGAATCACTTATTAGCACATTACATCAAGCAATTTTCTCCCAAGCCATTTAAGGAGCTAGATAGTGTTTTTTTATTATCAACCACTCAAATAAAATTAGAGTTTTATTTATGGTATTGTGTGTGTGTTGTACTAGGTATTATTGGATTTGGAATCTGGTGCATCTCAGAAAATTTTTCATTTTCGCAGTGTTTTCTCCACTTAGCCACATCATGAACTTTGTTAGGAGTGGAGATAAGAAAATTGAGAAATTGAAACACTTGCTCCATTGGCTTTGCTATCAATTACAAGAGATTACAATCTGACAATTTGAACAGAGAGATTGAAATTGTGGTTTCATTATTTATGAAACATGCATTTTTTTACTTCTAAAGTAAGTGTGCGCATTGCAGGGTACTAATTTTCTGTTCTGTTTTTAAAGCTTTAATTTCTTTTGGCCAATCCAACTACTGGTCAGCGGTGATTTCAAGACTCATTGACAATGGTCCTCTTGGAGGTTGAGAGATTACTGGACATCCTCTTGTTTGATGTGATCATTACCAAGACATTATGTTGTGCCACGTCTCCTACTACTTTTCTGCTGATGACTGGATTTATGATGTAGATTGGCATGGAGCATTTCAATATCTTATGAGTTGCTTCTTAGCATATCATTGTGTGTACTGCTTGACAACTTCGAACTGAACCACCCTGAATTTCAATTCACAGCCTATGTTAGCCCATTTTGACTCTACCTGGTTTTCTTGCCTCAAACTTCTCCGATTTTGACATATGCATCCTTTCTGTATATGTGCCAAATTTCAAGTTCATTACTACTCTGCTCTGTTAAACTGCAAGCTATTACAAAGAGATGTGAATTCAAATGTAAGTAAGAAAAATTACTTCATATTTAGTACTTCATGCAGAGGTTGATAAAGATTGAGTAACTAACCAGGGATGTCATGTAAGCAAAAGTGTATCACTTTTTAATTGATAAGATTATTAAAGTGTAAAAAGTCTACAATGTTTTGCTAGGCCTGATGGAAAGTAGAAGACTCTGGTCCCTGACATTTTCTTAGCTACATTGCTGAATACTTAAGACCATAAGACACAGGAACCTAAGTAGACCATTCAGCCCATCGAGTCTTTTCTGCCATTCACTGAGATCATGGCTAATCTGAAATTCTCAAATCCACTTTCCTGCCTTTTTCTCATAACATGATTCTCTTCCTTATTAAAAGTCTGTCTATCTCAGCCTTGAATATACTTGACTCTGCGGTAAAGAATGCCACAGCTTCATCATCCTCTGAAAGAAGAAATTCCTCCTCTGTCTCTGTCTTAAATAGGTGTCTGACCCTCTACTCTGAAATTACGTCCTCTGGTCCTAGACTCACAACACTTGCGCTCTTGAACTAGCAATGGTTTTAACCAAGCTATTCCAGCAAAGCTACAACATGGCATCTACAAAGTGGAAAATTGTCTAAATATGTCCTGGACACAGCCAATTACTGACTTGAATCCATTCTCAATCATTAAAATAATGATGAAAGATGTCATCAAGATATCAAGTAGCACTTGGATTTTGCCAGGACCAATCAGCCCAAACCTCATTATAGCCTCGGTTCAAACCTGGATAAAGGAACTAAGTTCCAGGGTGAGGTGAAAATGACCATCTTTAATATCAAGGCAGCATTTCATCAAGTGTGACATTAAGTAGTCTGAGAAGAAATCAATGGGTATTGAATGCTCTCCACTGGCTGGAATTATACTGAGCATAAAGAAAAATGGTTGTGATGGTTTGAGGTCTACCATCTCTTCCCAAGTCAGAAGTCACATGACACCAGGTTATAGTCTAACAGATTTATTTGAAATCTCAATCTTTCGGAGCACAGCTCCTTCGTTAGGTGCTCCGAAAGCTTGTGATTTCAAATAAAACTCTTGGACAATAACCTGGTGTCGTGTGACTTCTGCCTTTGTCCACCACTGTCCAACACTGGCACCTCCACATCATCTCTTTCCAAGGACATTGATGGTAGAAGTGCTCCAGGGCAGTGTCCTTGGCCCAACTATCTCTAGCTAGTTCAATAATGACCTTCCTTTCACATAAAGAACACGACACATGTTGAGAAGGTGATTACAGATACATTTGTGATCTTTAATTTTATAAATAGAGGAACTGAGTAAAAACCAAAGGAAATTATTCCAAACACATTGTGAAGAGGATGCTCAGTACTGCACAAACCTCCTCCACACTGCTGATACTTTTATGCCAAGTATGACCAAATAAAGGAATGCTCTGGATTTTTTTCTGAAAAGTGTCCCTTTGCCTTGCCACAAATCCCTGTGGTTTCTCAGTAAGAGATGGCAGAATTATTTTTCACCCAGAAGATACTTGGGATCTGGAACTTTCTGCCCAGAAAGGTAGTAGGTCAGAAATCGCATAACACCAGGTTATAGTCCAACAGGTTTATTTGAGAAAACAAACTTTCGGAGCCTTACTCCTTCTCCAGGTGTTAGTGAGAAAGGTAATATCAGACACAGAACTTATAAGTAAAAGATCAAAGGGTCACACCATTGATGAAAATGGACTAAACAAACCTAATATGCTGTTAAATCTTTAATCAGTTAGAAGGTTTTAATTGATTAATATGTATATACAAATCCCCGAATTCCTTTCAAGTCATTGTCCTGTGAGAACTAAAGGTTTCATCAGTGTAAAGAAGAGGTGACATTTTCGGTGAGATGACACCAAAATTGGTGTGCAATTAATCATTATTGTGCCAATCACAACTTCTAGACATATCCTTCGTTCTTAGTTTATCCCAATGCCACTCTCTTTGACTTTGATCATGTTTAATCTCTTTTTTACACATTTTCACAGACTTCCCCTTTCTCACTCAACTCATTCCTTTCACTGCTTAAAACCTTCCAACTTTTGCAGATTCTGATGATAGTCATCAACGTGAAACAAACTTTGTACTCTCCTCAGAGACCACCTAACCAGCTGAGAATTTTCAGCACTTTCTTATTCCTTAGAACACATCTAAACAGATCAGTTAAGAAAGCCTCTGTTGCGATCACAGCCTGAGGTGGGACTTAAACCTAGAGACAGGTACGTGACTATTGTACCTTGACCTTATATAATATCCATTTGTCTGGAAACATCAGTGGTGGGCTAGCAGAGGGATTGAACCAGTGAATTTGGTGTTATTAGCACCATGCTCTAATGATGTGAGCTGATCAGTCGATCTATGTTTAATTTGGGGCTCCAGTTCCTGTGATGCCCATTAATCATAAAAAGGCTTCAAGCATACCAGTGGACACTGGTCCAGGAAGTTTAAGATGGCAGCAGAGTAGTAGGGCTGCATGCAAGCTCTTGCCCGGGGATCACAGAACATAGAACAGTACAGGCCCTTCAGCCCACGATGTTGTGCCGAACTTTTACCCTAATCCTAAGGTCTATTTAACCTCCACCCCTACCTTATACTATCATCCATATGCCTACCTAATAGCCGCTTAAATGCCCCTAATGAGGCCGACTCCACTACACTCTCCGGCAATGCATTCCACGCCCCGACCACTCTCTGAGTAAAGAACCTACCTCTGACGTCTCCCCTATATCTACCTCCACTCACTTTGAAATTATGCCCCCTCATAATAGCTACCTCCATCCTAGGAAAAAGTCGCTGGCTGTCTACTGTATCTATATTTCTGATCATTTTGTACACCTCTATCAAGTCACCTCTCATCCTTTATTGTTCTAAAGAGAGAAGCCCTAGCGCTCTCAACCTTTTCTCGTAAGACCTTCCCTCCATTCCAGGCAACATCCTGGTAAATCTCCTCAGCACCTTTTCCAGCGCTTCCACATCTTTCCTGTAATGAGGCGACCAGAACTGGACACAATACTCCAGATGTGGCCGAACCAGGCTTTTGTATAGCCGGAGCATAACTTCACGGCTCTTGAACTCAATCCCTGTATTAATGAAAGCTAACACACCATATGCCTTCTTAACAACTCTATCCACCTGAGTGGCAGCTTTCAGGGAACTGTGGACATGAACGCGAAGATCCCTTTGCTCCTCCACACTGCCAAGAATCTTTCCGTTAACCCTGTATTCTGCTTTCAAGTTTGTCGTTCCACGTCATCTGCTTCCACGTGCTTTCCTTTTTGTTTCTTATGCTTTAGCACTTTTTCTTTTTCTTGCTTTTTTTCAATTTTTTCCTGTGGCGGGTTGGTCAGCATCATTGGTGCGGCAGTGAGAGTTGGCTCTGTGTGGAATGGTGGACACAACTTCTCCCAGTAACTGAAAGTGATTGGAGGCGTTGGCAGCAAGGGTGTCCTCCTGCTTTCGGGGCCAATGGCAGTGGCAGCAAGGACTTCCTCCGAGTGTTTGGGGCCGGTGGCAGCAAAGCTTTTCCAGCGATCGGGGGGCAGTGGTGCGGCAGCAGTGGAATCTTCAAGACGGTGGTGCCGGCAACATGCCACCTGCAGCTGAAGCAGGAGTCTTGGTGCGGTGGCGGACTGGCCTGGCAGCAGAACCAGGGCCTCCTGGTTGCAGTGGGCCGAGAGGTGCTGGCCTGGCAGTGGTGGCAGCATCTTATGCCCAGAGCAGGGACTCCTAGTGTCATCGAGGCAGCAGCGGAGTCAGGGACGCCTAGTTGTGGTTGCGGTGGGTCCAGAGCAGGGATCTCTGGCTATTGGTGAGTAGCAGTGGAGCTGAGGACTCCTGGTTGCGGGTTGGGTGTGGGCCCAGTGGTGAAGAGATGGTGCCTAAAGTGTGATGACTCCCACATTGTTGGATATGGTGCAGGCGGCAGTCAGGCATTGGAGGTCTCGCTTTCAATTACTGGAGGCTTGATGCTGGCGTGAACTGGGCTGGAAAGACTGTTATTCCGAGCTTTATATTTATTTTTTCTATTTTATTCCTACAATCTGTAATGCTGGACATTGTATTTCTTTAATTTCTTTCCCTAAGAATTTGTGCTTAAAAATCTGTACCTAGGTACCTTTTGTACCTAAGATGGTAATAGGGCAACTTGTAAACTTTTCACTGTACTCATTTGAGTATATGTGACAATAAGGCTAATTCAATTCAACTCAACACTCCCTCTCCAATGCCATCTGGGTATGGACATAGAGTTTTCTCATAAATATTTATTCCAACCTTCTGTGGCACATCTATATGGCAGGTGGGACTTCAACCTGGTCCTGCTGACCCAGAGATTGTTAGGATGCGAACATTGCACCACAAGAATCCCTTTGCCCCGCCAAAAAAATAACATGTTCCAAAATATGACACACACCTTTTGGGCTGGGGGGACTTACACTCCAATCTTCTGTCCAAGGGATGATCTATAGTCAGGAATACACTGCTGTGCCTCACGATCCTTAATTTTCTGTTTTCATGTTAACACAAACTCTGGATAACAACCCAAAAAAACCCCAAAGATGCGGATAAAACAAAAACAGAAGTTGCTGGAAAAGCTCAGCAGGTCTGGCAGCATTTGTGCAGAGAAAATCAGAGTTAACATTTCGGGTCCGGTGACCCTTCCTCAAAATTGAGTTGCGGGTTGGGTGTGGGCTGAGTTCTGAGGAAGGGTCACCGGACCCGAAACGTTAACTCTTCACAGATGCTGCCACAGATGCATTTTTGTTCCAAAGATGCCGATGCTCGAAATCAGAAACAAAAACTGAAATTGCTGGAAAAAAAATTCCAGTTCGACTCCCACATTGGTGGATATGGCGCAGGCGGCAGTCAGGCGTTGGAGGTCTCTCTTTCAGTTACTGGAGGCTTGGTGCTGGCGTGGACTGGGCTGGAAAGACTGTTTATTCTGAGCTTTATATTTATTTTTTCTAATTTATTCCTATTATCTGTAATGCTGGACATTTTATTTTTTTTTCCCCCCTAAGAATTTATGCTTAAGAATCTGTACCTAGTTTCGAGTTCGGAAGAAGGGTCACTGGCTCCGAAACATTAACTCTGCTTTCTATCTACAGATGCTACCAGACTTGCTGAGTTTTGCCAGCAATTTCTATTTTCGTTTCCAGACCTTACCACCCTTTGAACATGAAAAAAACAAAAACAAGTAGTCGAGACAACAAGGTGCAGAGCTGGATGAACATAGCAGGCCAAGCAGCATCATAGGAGCAGAAAGGCTGACGTTTCAGGCTTAGACCCTTCATCAGAAATGGGGGAGGGGAAGGGGGTTCTGAAATAAATAGGGAGAGAGGGGGAGGTGGATAGAAGATGGATAGAGGAGAGGATAGGTGGAGAGGAAACAAACAGGTCGAAGAGGCGGGGATGGTTGAAAGATCACTAATTGCACACTTAAGCAAAGGCGTTAAGTACCGTATTGACAGCATCCTATCCTAAGGGGCAATACATTTTTTCACGTAAGTTCAGCAAACACAGAAATACACTGACTCGAACATGCCTTGCCGGGAAAACGAAACGACCCACGGCACATTCCAGCCTCTGACCTCACAATTGGGCGGGGATTGGGGGAGCGCGCGCCCAATGCAAGAGTCGTATCGAAATGCAAGCGCACCGTTTGTCCAGGGGCGAGCGCGAGCACAGCGGGGAGGAGCGGGACATGGATGCGCGTGCACCGCTGTTGTCGAGCCGGCGTGTGGTGCACGTGCGCGTAGTTCCGGAGGCGGACAGGGCTGCGCGTGCACAGAGCTCTGGGGACGAGGACGGGGCTGAGTGGGAGGCCAAGACTGACGTTGGGAGCTGCGGGTTAGGGGGGGGGCGCCATCTTTTGTGGTGAATCCACGGGGGGGGGGGGTTGGGGGAAGTGAGTCAGGGGCGAGTATCGTTCTGAAATAAAATCTGGAACGTTCCATTATAGAGTAACATTGGCATGAAGATATTGGCGAAGGCCTGTAGTGGTAATATTAAAGACCCTGCTCGGAGTGAAGTGACTTCGATATATTCTTTCATTTAGTGCGGTGCTGGGTGTCGGGGAGCCCCTGATTTTTTTTAATTAAAACTGGATCGGGGCTCCTTACCAGACCATCAATAAGGCAATTTGTTTGGGAAAAGACGTCGCTGCTGGTGAAAACGAAACCGTGCCCATTCACTGACGCCCCTCTCATTTCCCCATCTCTGTTCCCCGGCCTGACAGGAAACCCTGCTGATTGCACATCCTCGCACTGAGATCGGACCATCAATTCGAAGCAAACGGTAACTAGATTTTTAGGGTGGCTGAGGGTGTGGATGAGTAATTCTGTCACTTTGCGGTGTCATCAGGGCGCAGTCGATCTGCTTGATTTCTGAAAATTGTAGTGTTAACTAATTTGCGATATACAGTAACCCTATAAAGCATCTGTTGAGCGCGTTCTTCTATTTAATTCTTCTGTACAGTTGTGATTTAGTGAGGAACAAGGGAAGCTGGTGTTTTACTTTCAGATTACTGTTGATGCCACGTGTTTATAAAACTGATTCTGGGTGTTTTGTTATTTGATACGTTGGTGGAAATTTATGGTAATACCTTTTTGAGTCGAATAACGTTAATCGTTCTTTGAATTGTAAAATCGTAGGGTAGAAGACTTTATCCCTTCATGTTTGCGGCCTGGACAAGGTTTTGGTGGTTGTGTAATGTGACTCATTTCCTTGTAAAATGAAGAAATTTCAGTGTTTTTGTACCGACTAGTGGGATTAGTTCTACAGAGTTGCTGGTCTTTACACTTTGCACCATCATAAACAAATGTGTTCTACAATTAGTGGAAACCATGGATGGAAATGATTTTGCGCAGTTTTTGTCAGATCTTAGGATTACTACTATCTGAGCAACAAGCAACCTGGCACAGAGTAAATAAAGTCAAGGAGTTAAATGAGTGGCTCAGAGATTGGCATGGGTGGAATAGACAGTTCCTATGTTTATGTATTCCTACACTTAGTACATGTGACAAATAAATAAATAAATCTAAATTTAAATCATGGGGCACAAAGTAGAAGGGAGCTGACCCAGTGGATAAGGCTTCACTTGAAAGTGTTCTTGAGGCTGTTATCTTGGTGAATTGAATGGTTATGATTGTAGAAGGGCTCTAAACTAAAGTGGGAGTTGGATGCTGGTAGGCAGTGGGTTCTGGAGAGGGATAGATACATAAGCCTACAAAAAAGCAAGAGGATAAGGCAGCATTATAACAACAATTTAGGTAATGATATACAGTGGGGCAGGAAAGGAAAAAGTACAAACAAAAAAGGAGCAATAGGGTCAAATGGGTTAATGAGTTCACTACAAAATAACTGAATTAATGGCACATATAGAGCTAATGCATGATCGCATGGCCATTAGAGAGACCTGGTTATGAGGAGTTCAAATCTGGGAGCATGGGAGGCTGTGGAGTGACCTAATAGAGGTATATAAAATTATGAGAGGTATGGATAGTCGGGGTCTTTTTCCCAGGGTGGAAGTGTCAAGTTGTAGTGGACATGAGCTTAAGGTGAGAGGGGGACAATTTAAAGGAGATGTGCGAGACAAGTTCTTTAGCACAGAGGCTGGTAGGTGCCTGCTACATGCTGCCAGGAGAGGTGGTTGAAGCAGATACGGTAACAACATTTAAGAGGCATTTAGACAAGTGAACAGACAGGGAATAGAAGGATATGTACCTGTGCTGTACTGTTCTCTGTTCTATTTTCCACATGAACAAAATATTTCAGGGTTACTGACTTTTGAAAAAGACAGGCAGGAAGAAAAGAGTGGTTGGTGGTTTTGTGAGTATGAGATGGACAAGTGTGAAAGCAAGAAATAATCTTGAACTGTATGATGTAGAATCTTTATAGTTAGAAATAATAAGGGGAAGAAGACTCTGGTGGGAATAGTCTATAGCATCATGCCCCCACCACAAAAAAATCGTGGCTATACAAAAGACAGAATAAATCAGGAGATAATGAGGGCATGTAAAAAGGCAGACGATTTTAAACCTCATGTAGATTGGGGAAAATCAAATTGCCAACTAGCTAGGAGTAAGAATTCATAGTGTATTCAAGACAGTTTCCTAAAACAAAATGTTGTGGATCCAACCAGGAATCAAGTTATTTTGTATCTAGAGAACAGCCTCATAATATAGAGCTAACACAGTGTGGAGCGTTTCGGGTTGGGACATTAACGTACCCCCAACACAAATCGTCAACTTTCCTGCTCCTCTGATGCTGCCTGGCCTGCTGTGCTCCTCCAGCTCCACACTGTGTTATCTCTGACTCCAGCATCGGCAGTTCTTACTATCTCTGAGTGATCATAATATGGTTGAATTTAGCATTCAGTTTGAGAGTGAGAAACTCTATTTGGAAACCACTGTGCTAAACTTAAATAATGGTAATCACAAAGAATGAAGGGAAAAATTGGTTGGAGTGGACTTGAAAAGCAGTTTAACAGAAAAAAAGATTGAGCTACAATGGTAAATATTGAAGAAAATTTTTAATAACTCTCAAGAAAAGCTATATCCCATGGAGGAAGAAGGATTCCAGGAAGAAGATAAATCAACCATGGTTAACCAAAAAATTGAGTAATATCAAATTGAAAGGAAAACCATACCGTGTGGCAAAGATTAGTGATAAGAAAGAGGATTGGAAAAGTTTTAAAAACCAACAAAAATATTTTAAAAATTGAAGGTAAAATAATAAGTTACACAAAAACAGGCAGTAAGAGCTTCTCTAAATATATTAAAAGGAAGCCTCTGATGCTCCCAGATTTGAACTCCTCATAACCATGTCCCTCTAATGGCTTTAATGCCAAAATGAACATGGATCCCGTAGAGAATGAGACTGAGGAAATAATGCCGATGAACCAGGAAATGGCAGACGAGTTGAACAAATACATTCCATCAGTCTGCACAGTAAAAGACACTGCAGCATTCTAAAAATACTACATAATTAAGGGGTAAAGTGAAGAGGGAGAAATAAATATATTAACTATCAGTGGAGAATAAGTACGAGGGAAACTAATGGGTTTCCTGGAATTGATGGGTTGCATCCAGGATATTCATCAGGATATTGCCTAGGATGAAAAGTCTCAGTTATGAGGAGAGACTGGATAGACTGGTCTTGTTTTCCATGGAGTGGCAAAGGCTGAGGTAGGATACAATTCGAGGTATACAGAATTATGAGAGTAATAATGAAAAATGATAGAGTAGATCATGAAAATCTTGTTTTAGACACATCTGCCATTGGGAAGAAAAGATGTAAATTTGAGATGAGGAGTATGTGGTTTGGAGGAGATCTAAGAGAAAATGTTTTCATCCAGACGGTGATAAAAATATGGAATATGCTGCCTAACAGGGTGGTGGAGCCAGGTACTCTTGCAACGTTTTAAAGCATCTGGATAAGCACTTAAAATGCCAGGGCATAGTAGGCTATGGACCAAGTGCAGGTAAATGGGATTACTGTAGTTTGGTGTTTGTTGGTTGGCATAGACATGGTGGGCTGAAACTGTGTTGTATGACTCCAAAGGAAATAGCAAAGAAAGTGGATGCAGTGGTAATAATTTTCCAATAATCCTTATGTTGTGGAAAAGTTCCTAAAAAAAAAAAAAATTAGAAGACTGCCAATGTAATACTCTTATTCAAAAGAGATGGAGACAAAAAAAAAAGTAATTGTAGGCCACTTGACTTAATATATGCATTGGGAAAATAAATGATGTAAAGCAAAACATTTAGGAAAGTACAGCATGATTTAGGAGAGTCAACATGATTTTGTGAAGTAGAAATCTGGCAAATTTATTAGAATTCTTTGAGGAAGTAACAACAGGCCAGATGAAGAACATAGATGCAATATATTTGAATTTCCAAAGTACATTCAATAAGGTACTGAACAGAAGGCTACTTAATCAGATAAGTGCCATCATGTTGGGGTTAGTATATTAGCATGGATAGAGGATTGGCTAATTAATAGAAGATAGAGTTGGGATAAGGGAGGTAGTTTCAGGATGGCAACCTGTAACTGGCAGAGGGATTAGTGTTGGGTCACAGTTATTTACACTTTACATTAACAAACTTCGATGAAGGATGTGAAAGTACTATTGTCAAGTTTGTAGATGACACAAAATTGGTGAGAGGGCAAGTGGAGAGGATGGCACAGTCTATAGATGGATATTGACAGATTGAAGGTGGGTGAAAACTTGGCAGCTGGAATATAATGTGAAAAATGGGAGGTTATGCAATTTGGCAGGGAGAATAGAAGAACTGAATATTGTTGAAATGGCCAACCCTCCCTTTCGTCCCCGCCTCCTTGACCTGACAAAACCTGTCCACCTTCTCTCTCACCTATCCACTCCTCCCACCTCACTGACCAATCCCCACCCCTGCCTACCTGCACTCACCTATCAACATCCCACCTACCTTTCCCAGCCCCACCCCTCCTCTCTCTTTATTTCAGAGCTCTCTTGCCCCCTCCCCCATTTCTGAAGAATGGTCCCAAGCCAAAACATCAACTTTCCTGCTCCTCTGATGCTGCCTGGCCTGCTGTGCTCCTCCAGCTCCACACTGTGTTATCTCTTGTTTAAACGGAACAAGGTTGCAGAAAGCTATAGAACAAAAGGATTTTGGGGTCCTCGTGCATATGTCAAAAAAACTAACATCCAAGTTGAATGGGTTCCAAAGAAGGCAAATACAATGTTGACTTTTATTTCAAAGTGAATGGAGTATAAAATAGGCAAGTCTTGCTAAAACTATACTGGACCATATGTAGAATACTTAAAGCAGTTTTGGTCTCCTTATCTAAAGAATGAATATACTTGAATTGGAGGCATTCCAGAGAAGGTTCACTGGGTTGTTTTGGGTAAGGAGGGATTTTTTTTAAACGAGAAGTTCGTGGGAACTACAGAAGAGTGAGAGATGATTTATTAAAGCATGCAAGATTCTCTTGGGGAATTGACAGGGTAGATGCTGAGGTGTTGTTTCCCTTATGGAAGAATCTAGGACCAGCAATGTAATCTCCATGTAAGGTTGTCTAATTAGGATAAAGATGAGGAATTTCTTCTCTCAATGTAGTGAATCTGTCGAAAACTTCACTGGAGAGGGCTGCGGAGACTGGATGGTTAAATAAACGCAAGACTGAGACAATTTTTATTCAGTAAAGGTACTGAGCGTTATGAGGATAAGGCAGAAAACTGGGATTGACGACTGTCAGATCAGCCATGATCTTGCTGAATGGTGGAGAATAGTGGGTGGAATGGTCTACTACTG